AACACACCACAGACACTATGGTTAGCCTCACGTATCGGTACACATACTTTGACAGCCTTGGTTGATAGTGGTTCGACCCACAATTTCATTAGCGAGAAAACAGCGCGGGAGTTGAAAATTCATCTCACCCCAACCAAAGCTTTTACGGTAAAGGTCGCAGATGGAAAATCTTTACAGTGTCGAGGTAAATTTGAAATGGTGGTTGTGCAGCTAGGCAATATTAGCTTCAAAGTCACGTTTTATGCTTTACCATTAGCGAGATTGGATGTGGTTCTAGGCGTGCAATGGCTTCGAAGTTTAGGTCCAATTGTATGTGATTGGAATACCTAGAAGATGACTTTTTTTTGGGAAGGCAGCTCACATACGCTACAAGGAATCAAGACAAGCATTCAAGAGGCAGAACCACAGGAAATGGTCAAGGAAGCTAAGCAAGGTCAAGCTATGTTTGCGGTTCAGATCAATCCATCTTTGGACAAGGCGCCGGGTATTGCTGAGGGTATACGGCCTCTCATCAACGAATACGATGATTTATTTCGTATCCCGACTCATCTTCCACCTCACCGGAGCATTGAACATCGCATACCCTTGAAGGAAGGTACGGATCCGGTAAATGTTAGACCATATCGATATGCTCATTTTCAAAAAGATGAGATTGAGAAACAGGTTAACGAGATGCTACAGGCCGGGATAATTCGCATGAGCTCTAGTCCTTTTTCATCTCCGGTTTTACTTGTTAAAAAGAAAGATGGTACTTGGCGGTTTTGTACGGATTATAGAGCCCTAAATTCTGTGACAATTAAAGACCGTTTCCCTATGCCCACAGTGGACGATATGTTGGATGAGTTACATGGAGCAGTATTTTTCACAAAGTTAGATCTCACTGCAGGGTACCATCAAGTCAGGGTGCACCCGGAAGATGTTTCTAAAACCGCATTCCGCACTCATAATGGGCATTATGAATACTTGGTTATGCCTTTTGGCCTCTGCAATGCCCCATCAACATTTCAAGCATTAATGAACGACATTTTCCGGCCTTACCTTAGGCAGTTTGTGCTTGTATTTTTTGATGATATATTGGTATATAGCTCTACTTGGGAGGAGCATCTTCAGCACGTGGAGATAATTTTTTCTCTTTTGCGAAAAAACAAGTTAGCCGTGAAGCTTAAAAAGTGCGACTTTGGCCAGCGGGAGTTAGAGTATTTGGGTCACATTATTTCAGCGGATGGTGTGAAGGTCGACAGGACCAAAATACAAGCTATGCTGGACTGGCCTGTGCCGACTACAGTCACGGAGCTTCGTGGATTCCTCGGCTTAACGGGTTACTATCGTAAGTTTGTTAAGAGTTACGGGCTAATTGCTAAACCATTGACCAATTTACTTCGTAAAGGCAGTTTTATGTGGGCTGATGAAGCGGAGGCAGCATTCTTGGCGTTGAAAGAAGCCTTGACAACTACACCTACCCTAGCACTACCAGATTTTTCAAAACCCTTTGTTATTCAAACTGACGCGTCAGGTGAGGCTATTGGTGTGGTTCTCTCTCAAGACGAGCGACCAATCGCATTTATGAGCAGAGCGCTAGGGGTTACTAAGAGGTCTTGGTCGACATATACTAGAGAAATGTTGGCCATTGTTATTGCTATTCGTACTTGGCGGCCTTATCTCCTTGGAAGACATTTTCAGATACAAACAGATCAAAGCAGCTTACGTCACCTTTTGGAACAGCGGATCATGACTCCTGAACAACAAAAGTGGATAGGGAAGTTGGTCGGGTATGATTACGAGATTACCTACAGACCCGGTAAGACTAACACGGCGGCTGATGCTTTGTCTCGTGTCCAGGGTAGCCCGGTGCTTAATGCCATTTTTGTGCAACAAACAAGTCTTTGGAATGACATTCGAGAGCTGAGTCGGACCGACACTTACATGTTAAAAATGGCAAAGCAAGCAGATATGAAACCAGGCGACCCATACTCTTGGCGTAATGACCTGTTGTGTTACAAAAACGGCGTGGTAATACCCCCATCATCCCCGTTAATACTTCAGCTCTTGCGTGAGCATCACGATACGCCGATGGGAGGCCACTCCGGAGTTCTCCGTACTCACAAACGATTGGCTAGATAATTCTACTGGCCCTCAATGCATCAAACGGTCAAGCAGTTTGTGGCGGAGTGTGATATTTGTCAACGTGCCAAATCATCGTCTCTTGCTCCGGCGGGTCTACTTCAGCCACTTCCTGTTCCGGATAATATTTGGGAGGACGTTTCCATGGATTTTGTTGATGGTTTACCCAAGTCCGATGGTTACACTTCGATCATGGTAGTAGTCGATAGGTTGTCTAAATCGGCTCATTTGGTCTCATTGACGTATCCTTACACGGCTAAAATCGTGGCAGCAAAGTTTGTGGCAGCCGTGGTTAAGTTACATGGAATGCCCCGTTCCATTGTCAGTGATAGAGATCCGATCTTTGTAAGTTTGTTTTGGCGGGAGTTTTGGAAGTTAGCAGGCACAAAATTGCGTATGTCAACAGCATATCACCCCTAGTCCGATGGACAGACAGAAGTGGTCAATCGTTGCATTGAACAATTTCTCCGATGTTTTGTGCAGAACCGGCCAACACAATGGAGTTCTCTCCTTCTTTGGGCTGAGTTTTGGTATAATACCACTTACCATTCGTCATCAGGAACGACACCGTTTCAGGCTCTCTATGGCCGGGCTCCGCCGTCTATTCCGACGTATGAGGTTGGCTCCTCGATATTGGCAGAAATAGATGAGCAATTGGCAACCCGTGATGAGTTGCTCTCTGACCTGAAACAACATCTCCATCGAGCGAATAACCGTACGAAGCAGCACATCGATGGTAATTGGGTTTGGAGGTTGGTAGTTGGGTTTACCTTCGCCTCAAACCGTACCGGCAACGTTCTGTTCTGCGTCGTACTTCTCAGAAGTTGGCTCATAAATATTTTGGGCCATTTCAAGTTGAATCCAAGGTTGGCGAGGTGGCGTATCGTCTTGTGTTGCCCCCCGGTTCGCGTGTTCATCCGGTCTTCCATGTGTCTCTTTTAAAACCGCACATAGGGTCGACTTCGCCAGTTCAGGGAGCGTTACCCCCTCTACGTGAGAATGGTTACCTTCATTTGCAGCCTGAAGTAGCTCTCCGCCGTCGTGACGTACAAGTTGGGAACAAAACGACAAGGGAACTTTTAATCAAGTGGAAAGGGCTTAGTGAGGAGGACGCAACATGGGAGGAGGAGGTTCAAGTGGCAGCAAGCTTCCCTGCATTTGTCCCTAACCTTGAGGACAAGGTTATTCTTCGGGGGAACGGTATTGATGGGCCAATATTATCGGATCGGCCCATACGTACGAAACGGCCTAATCCTCGTTACTTGGATTAGAAGCAAGCGGTTTTGGTGTTATGTTTTAGTTTTGGGTTTTACAATCTTTAGGATAATAATGTTTTAGGATTGGTGTTATCTCTTATTCTCTCCTTATCTTCTTAGGACTCAATAATTCTAATTCTTGTAATGTTTTACTATAAATAATCAGAAAATCCAAAAAAAAGTAGTCATAACTACCCATTGAAAAACCTTTGTGTCTTTTAGTTCTTATTGTTTTCTGACTTGCACCTATCAATAATCCTATCCCTTTTTGGGATTCGAAGATTTGGATAATTCCTAGACTCTATTAGGTTACTTTGTTTCCTTTTTCCATATTCGAGATTTATACCATGACCATATCTAATTTGAGTTTCTTTTTATTTTCCAATAATATTTTTATATAATGACATATCAACACTTGATATATCTTACAAAAAACATTGCTTAGAATTTTAATTAAAGGCAAAAAAATAGGAAAAAGTTACGATGTTAACATAATCAACAAAACATGTCATGATGACATATTTCCTAATTTTGATCTATATGCTTTGTTCTCTATCAAACATGTCATGATGACACCTAAACATGTGTTTATTCACTATCAACATATTTTATTTGACGCTAAAAACTAACAATATTATAATTTTTTTTTGACAATTTGGATAAACACATGATTTTTCCCGAAAGAACAAAAACGAAAAAAAAAAGAAAGAAGAAGAAACACGTGATTTGAATATGAACATTGCATCTACAACTTTTTGTCATGCAATGAACATTGACATCAAAAACATTTCGGTAATCAAAAGATATAAACACTATTTACTGAACGAGTTATGATATAAGCATATAGCTATACTAAAAAGAGTCCTAGTTAATTTCAAAAGGACCAATCAATATATTTGCCTTGCTATCCGAAAAACATAAAACCCCTCTGGTTTAGGTTTTGCTTGTTTGTGTTTTAGTGCCCATAAATTTAGGGACATATAGCTTAATTTCTTGATCTAGGTTGGTATTCGTATAGTATTACTGATGATATATAGTAGAAACAGTTGGACTAGCTATCTAGCTATTACTCGATCTTATAGTTTAGTACCACAAAACGTTCAATATAGACTGTTGGAAAGTATTTAGATGAAGAACAATTTTTGAACTAGCTAGTCAAATCTGAATTATTTATATTTGTATGGCTAACGTTAGCAAAAATGTAAAATAACGTTAGCAAAAATGTAAAAATATGAGTTAATATGATTCGTTCATATTTATTTTTATCTTTCTATCATGTATATGATATTTTTTTGATTTCCGTATATTTTATTCTTGTAGAATCTTTCTAAATATACGAGTTCATATTTATTTTTAACTATTTTGATAATAAATAAAAATCGTTTACTTTTCTTTGTGATATTTTTAAAGATTGGTTGTCAATGCTAAACTGTATAAGACTTTTAACAATTTACTAATTAATTTTACTATTTCGATGTCTCATACTAATTATAGTATGGACGTATAAAATCCCAACAGATTTAACTTTTCAGCTGAAAAGTATAAGAAGCACGTACATGCATGCATGTGAGCAAACATAAGTAGAAATAAAAGATCTTCCATTTAGTTATATTGAACAGTACTTGGAAGTAAACAAAACCACTAGAGAACAATAAAAAAAACTACAACTCAAAGGTAAGAAGCAAAGCCAAAATAAAAAAAAAGAAAACAAAAGATGTATGAATCTATCAAAGTACTAAAAGAGAAATCAAAAGAAAAGGAAGAAAGTTGGATCCAATCCAAACAATAGTGGAGGTTGAAGCTGCGTTAAGTTGAGCTGGTGACGGTACCAACGGTGAAGGAGACGAAGAAGAGCTTGATGATCGGACCGGTCCAGGAACCGGAGCAGCGACGGGTCCTAACGAAGCCGGTAAGACATGAATTTGAAGCTTCTGTCCCAAGTTGCAGTGACCAGGAAATCCACATATGAAGTGTTGGAGTCCCGGTTTGGTTAGAGTGACGGTATCAGACCCGGTCTCGTATCTCGTTATCGGTTTAGAAAGTTCACAAAGCTTGAAATCATTGTGAGTGACTTCAGTGACATCGTGGAAATCTTTGTTGTAGTTGAAGACCAAAGAGTCTCCAACTTGAAAAGTTCTTGAAGAAGCCCATGCTTCGTAATCAACTCCTATCATAGTCCATCCTTTCGAGTCTCCAACCTTGTGAACGTTTCCTCCAAGGGCAACTCCAAAAAGAGCTACAAGAATCAATAAAGAAGTGAAAAACACATTGTTCTTAATCAAAGCCATGATCGTGTTTTTGGTTTTTAACTTCGGAATGAGAGAAACAAGTTTGAGAGACACTATTAATGAAAGTAACTAATGAGTTTGTTTGGTGAGATTTGAGAATCGAGGATACGTACGAGTGTGTTTATATAGACCTGAGGGGTCGGTTGAGAGATAATTTAATTCCTTTTTCTTTTGGGATTTGAAGATTTTAATAATATATATTGATTGTCACCATGGCGGTCTTTAATTAGAATTTCCTTTCTTTTTTCTATAACAATTTAGTTTTTAATAATAAGATTATACTGAGATAAATATTTTAAACTGTTTGGAATACAAAAATAAAAGCATTGATACTAACAAAAAGTTAAAAGAAATGAATGAGTAAAAACATAAATAACAAAGAAGAATTATGATGTACTAACAAATATTTACCAATGTACTTTTGGATAAATTGTTCCAACTTTATATATAATTAGGTAATGATCTTGTGCTAAAACCATATGGGAAGAATAGTTATTATTTATTTGTGTGAAACAAAGATAATAATAACAAACTAAAAGAAAAGAACAAAAATCTACTTAGCTTTTACGTGAAGGATATAACAAATTAAAAAGTAGAAGATGGCATATATATATTAGGTATCCTTCCATGCTTCTTACTATTTCAATTCGAATCCCATTTACCTTTTTTTCTCTGTTTTTGTTTGGTAAATTGGTGACTTTGCTTTGCGTTGGAGTTTCTTAGTTTTTGCCTTTTGTTGTGAGTGGTTTTCTTCAGCTGTAAGAGCGATTCTTCAGCTGCCTTCCTTGCTCCAGCACTGGACTCTTCATCAGATGCTTCGTCTGACAAACCACTTTTTCTATGCCCTTTTCCACAAATATTAAAAGGAGACTCCGATTCTCTCATGTCCCCGGTCAATTCTTCTCCCAAATACGTTATCTCTACGACAAGCTGTACTGGTAAGTGGTATGAAGATCATTCAGTATTCGTTTTATTTTGGTGCAACAATAGGGAATTCGATATTAATGGTGGGTGTGACATATGTGGCTATTCCAAATTTGGTACAAATTAATTATTACGTGTTGAATGTGATAAAACTTTTCACAAAGAATGCATCCAATCTCCATCTAAAATAAAAAAAAAAACCCTTACCATCCTTAGTGATGGATATGGGCCTCGGCCCACGAGTCCCCTCTACCAATTTGTGCTTAGCCCGACAGAAAAAGTGACGTGGTGGCACGCGGCACAAGAAGTCAAGAAACAGGCGGGCTTCAGCTTGCGGCCCATCAACCGGTTGGCCCATCGCGGTCGGCCCGTACGAAGCCGTTTACCCGCCTAAGTGGAGCGCAAAATCCGCATTAGGTATTGATGGGTCCCATCACCTATAAAAGTGGGGGACCTCGATGTGATAGGAGATCAATAAACAGGAGTGAAGCAGAGAGTACACTTTTGAGCTCGACTTGTAATCTCATCTTAATAAAGTCGATCGACTAGTTTTGTTCACCACTTGTAATCTTGTCTATCCTTGATTTAATATAAGATTGCCTACTTGCTCAGTCCCTTAATTCCTACCTCATCACATCTCATCCCGACGATCACCCTATCAACACTGAGCATTCTCTTCAAGTTTCCATTTTTGTAGATGGTTTTGATAATACTGAGTGTATAAATTTTGAGAGAAAAACACTAAATTTGGTATATTATTGTACCAAATGTAAAGCTATAATGCATACAGTATGTGTGATGAAGCCGATACCCTTTCTCGTAGAGCAACCAAAAACCCATGACCATCCACTCACAATTTTTCCTAGGCAAGCTTCATTAACTTGCAACGTTTGTGGTTTATTAAGAAAGCTTTGTCTCACATACATTTGCTTTGAATGAAAATTTGTTGCTCACAAATGATTGTATGAATTAACCACACGTCATCAAGATATCACGTCACCACCATCGTATCTCCTACATTCCTTCTGTCTAGTTTGAAGAATGTTATTGTGGTGTTTGTCGTCAAAGTATTGACTGTGAATATGGTGCATATACCTGTGATAAGTGTGGTGAGTATGCTGTCCATTCAAAATGTGCTCTAGGGAAGCATGTTTGGGATGGAAGAGATCTCGAAGGTGTTCTCGAAAAAGATTATACAACAAATGATGTTGAGTCTTTTGAGAGGACATCTGAAGGAGTGATACTTCATTTTCTTCATGACCATCATCTTCAACTCCAAGGTAGCATACTTTATGATGATAACAAGATTTGTGAAGCGTGCGTCCTTCCTATCTTTAAAGGTAGTTACTATTCTTGTATGAAGTGTGCGTTTGTCCTCCATGATATATGCGCAAAAGCTCACCGCATAATTCAACATGTGTTCATCCTCATCCACTTACATTAAAGATTGACTCTGGATATAGTCAAGGATACTTCTATTGTAGGTTCGAGGTGTGTGGACGTAATTTAAAAGACACACAATCAAATGTGTTATATTGGTGCAGTGACTGCTGCACTAGTTATCATATTGAATGCTTATTGGGTGAAGACCCATATGTGAAGCCTGGTCAATTTTTCGAAGCAAATGGGACGGAGATTCAAATTCTTTCCAAAAGTTATGGTTGTCGACCATTATGCGGTATTTGCAAGAACCCTTGTCAAGGCAAAATATAGAAGAAAGATAACCTTATAGCATGTTCCGTGACTTGTGGGCGTAGTATTTTTTAATCGAGTTCAATGTGTTTAAGAGTAATTTCTGTTTTATACTTTAAAATGTTTGTTTGTTTGTTTGTTTGTAATGTTTGCGTAAATGTGTAAATTAATGTTTCCTAGACAATGATGTGCAAATGTTTGTTTCATTTTTATAATTAAATATCTATAGAAGGTACAATGTTGATCGTAGTCCAACCCACTGCTTTCATGGATTTCGTGGGAAACCTCGAAAGAATGGGTGTGAGATTAGAGGAATCTACATTTAGGATGATGATGGATACTCTCTCTAGAATTGGTGAGGTAGATTGTTCGACTGAGTTAGTGAGTACTAATTTGTGTTAATGTTGATCCGAGATTATGCTCTCGATTGTTGAGTTATGTATGTACGCTCTAGGATTCATAATATTGCGACGCATTAACGTGTTTTTGAATAGTTCAAGAGCTGAGGACACTACAAAAAAACAATGTCGTTACTGACGGAATTCCCGACGGATAGCTATCCGTCGATAATTTCTGATGGGATTTCGACGGAGATGTGACGAGATTTCACCGTTGTGTGTTGTCGGTAGTGCATCGGAAATTTTCCGTCGGGAATTGGAACAAACTCCTCACGGAATTCCGACGGAATGTGGATATGTGTTACCGTTGTTATAGCCGTTTCAATATCGTCAGAGATATGTCGTTTCTTTATTACCGTTGTTAAATAACTGTTGAATTTTTAATATCCCGACGGATCCGCGATCTATATATATTTACGCTCATTCTCAACAACAATCTCATTATAGCTTACATTATGTTTGCTCTAAAATTGAAAATCGAGAGAAATAGATATGTCTTCATCTTCTTATTTTAGATCGTTGATGGATGAACCAATGATGGATATGGAGTCAAACTTACAAAGAGATGAATATGCACGAGGTGTAGGCGAGTTCATGGAGTTAGCTTGTCAACAACCGGAAGCTAGAAAAACACGTAAGTTGAAATGTCCATGTTCTCTCTGTAGAAATTTGTTTAAGAAGAATAAGAAAGTGTATGATGACCTCCTGATGTAGATGGTGAGAGTATGTTGACTCAGTTAAGAGATTTTGGAGCAGCGAGGACTCCTGACGTTGGTGGTAATGGACATGATCCCATTGACAGTGTTGGTGTAAATCATAACTGGCACAAGCAGAGTATTTTATGGAAAGACCTTTTATTGAAGCATAATCTTGATGTCATGCACATTGAGATGAACTGATTTGACAACCTCATAGAAACCATTCTAAACATCCCAGGGAAGATAAAGGAAAACTTGAAGTCTATATTAAACTTGACAGATATTTGCTCTAGGCCCGAGATTGGGGTAATGGGGAATGGGAGATGTCCAGTTCAAATATGTCGATTAAATGCAGCGTCAAAGAAGCGTTTTTCAACTGGATTACCCATGGTGTAAAGTTCCCTGGCAGTTATGCATCTAATTTGCGTAATTGCGTTGATATTAGAGAAGGAAAGTTTGTAGGAATGAAGAGTCATGATTGTCATGTTGTTATGCAGCGACTTCTTCCATTTGCTTTCGCTAATATTTTGCCAGCAAACGTGTACAAAGCAATTGCAGGTACATTTTTGTTATTAAATTTAAACATATTCTCTATCTACTAATATTCAAATATTATATTTTTTGGTTGAATTTTGCAGGAATTAGTGCTTTCTTTCCCGATTTTTCCGCAAGAACACTTGAGAAGATATTTCCACCCTCTTTTTTTGATGTGATGGAACATCTACCTATTCATCTTCCGTGAGAAGCAGCACTTGGTGGCCCTGTTCAGTACCGATGGATGTATCTTTTTGAGCGGTACATGTTTCACTTGAAGAAAAAGGTTAAAAATTTAAGCAAAGTAGAGGGATCTATTGTGGCACAAAGTTTTAATGAAGAACCTTCACACTTTGCGGAATACTACTTTCCTTAGCAAGTCCGTACTAAGAGTCGACGACCTTCTCGCCATGACGATGGTGGCGAAAAACCAACGTATCTAGGGTATGTTCCAAACTTGTTTACTCAGATTGGACGCCTTAGTAGAAAAGGCAAGAATTGTAAACTATCAGAGCAGGAGTATACTCACTTGCGTATGTATATTCTCAATATTCCAACACTTTAAATAAGTGGAAGAAAAAATGGGTGGTTGGAGAGACTCCAAAGGGGATAAACGACAAGTTGTACGAAGGGTTGCAAGAATATTGGACAAAACCCGAGACAAAGGTAACATCTTTACAAAAATCCAAGAACCAGAAAAGCAACCGAGGCGGGAAAAGGATAGCAACGCAAAACGCCGGGTCAACAAGCTTCTATACCCATGGAAAACAACTTGTAAGTTCTCACATTTGGTAGCAATTATTTTAATGAACTTCTA